ATGTTTATAGCAGCACAATTTGTAATAGCTAAAGCTTGGAAACAGCCCAAGTGCCCATCAACTGGAGACTGGATAAAGAAGATGTGGTATTTTTATAAAATGGAGTACTACTCAGCCATAAAGAACAAGAAACTAGAGTCATTTATAGCTAAATGGATGCATATTGAGGCAATACTCTTAAGGGAAATAAACAGGACACACATGTATAAATACTGAATAGTTTCTCTAGTGTGAGAAACTGAAAGTGTAAATAAGGATTAGAAGGATTAATAACGAACAATTGATACTTTGAAATATGAAAAGGTCCGAAGGGATAGGGGTGGTGGGAAGAGATGGGGAAAGGGAAAAATGGAAAGGAAAAATTGTGAGAAAAGAAAAAAAAATGGAAACAAAGTATGTAAATAGGGAAGGCTGGATGGGGTGAAGGGCACACAGGTAATGGGGAAAAAATAAGAACCAAGATACATCCTATACAGGTACAAACACCCAGTGATAAATCTAAACGTATTGTATACCTAAAATGTACCAAAAAAAGAATTAAAGCAAAAAAAAAGAAAGAAATCTAATGTACAATGTGAAAATTGCTAATAGATTTTAATTGTTTTCATTATTAAAATAATAAGTATATAAAGTAATGCATATTAATTAATTTAGACATTTCACAATGTATACATATTTCAAAGCATCTTGTTGTATGTGATAAGTACATATAATTATTGTTAGTAAAAATAAAGAGAAAAAATGCTTCTTGTTGAGCATGAACCTTGAAAAAAAAAAGAATGTTGGCATAGATTTGTGTGCAAAGATATTTGTGTGTGAAATATTGGAAACAGCCTGCTGAACAATGCAGATGATTTGTTGATGTAATTGTGATATATCATTCAATGTACCACTGTGTAGCTATCAGAGATTGCATTTTGAGGGTATTTTGACATTAAAGGAAATGCTTGTACCATAATATTATGTGTAAAATTCCAAAATCGCAATTAATAGAAAGCATGAATGAGCATGAAAGCACGTTACAAACAGTCAAATAGATGATTGAACCCAAATGTGCGTGTGAATATTGCCAGGAATTCTCCAGGTTGTTTCTCCGAGTACTTTGTTTACCTACCCACATATTCCAAGGGGTGTTTTGGTATTGCTTTTATAATCAGATCAGATCAGCAGTGGTTACCTTGCGCGAAGTGTCCCTTCTGGCCGTCAGGCCCCTGTGGGGACACATCCTCCCTCCCGCCCTCCCTTCCTTCTGTGTTTTGTTGTCACTCCAGCGTGACTTGGGGTGTCTGGCCAGCTCCGCACTGTGCCGAGGACCTCAGGGTCCCAGTGGCCCCGGGAAGAGGCACAGCCGGATGGGTGGTGCCCGTCTTCCTGTGTCGGTGAGGGGTGACACCCATGGACTACATCATTTGTCCCTTACACACCTGCGCCCGTGGCGGCAGGCACCCGGCTGTTGGAGGAGAGTGAGGGTGACGTGAGAAGCGTCTGGACTGCACACTTTCTCTCCCCTGCCCTGGTGGGCGCCTCTGTCCCTGCAGAGAGTTCTTTTCACTGGTGCTGAATTCCTTGAAAGGGACACGATTTTCTTGAAGTTAAAGACCTGACTCTGGATGCCCTGGACGGATTGTTGGAAGCATGTGGAGCACACACCCCATGCCAACAGTGGGGCTGGGTTTTCATGTGACTTAGCAGTGGGGAACCCAGAAATAGGCTGGCCCTTGACGGTGTGGGCGAGGCAGTATGGAAATTGGCTGGAGCCGTGTGCTGGCACGGAAAGCCTGGCCTGCAGCAGGCGCCCAGAGCCCCGAGGCAGCTCCCTCCCCACTGGGTGGCATGGATCACAGCCTCTCCTGGCTGTTGTGATACCCGGCTGTGGCATGAGGAAGCAGCCCAGACTCCAGGGGCCTGTCTTCGCCTCTGACAGCATCCGCAGCACAGCACCTGCATGTACTTGTCCCTTGTCTTCACACCCTGCCACTTGCAGAGGCTGCTGCTTGGCGGGAGCAGTACGCGTCTGGTCTACAATGCTCGGCAGGGAGGCCCCGGCTCCAACTCAGAGCAGGAGCTGGCGGGGAGCACAGACCTGGCCAGCCGCTACCTGCTGTTCCACTTTAGAGCAAATGATCCGAAGCTGATGGCAGCAGTGCCCCCCCAAGGTAGCTGTTCCCGCCTCAGGGTGCCTGTAATTCATATGGTGCCTGAAGGCAACGAAGTCACTTGTCACTCACTGAGCTGTATTGATACGTCTTCTTCCGAATGCAAAGGAAGCAGAGAGATTTTCAATGCAGGAGATTTAGAAACTGGACAGGAGAGAGCGCTCAGCATTTATGGGCCTTTACCGTGCAGCTAAGCACCCTCGCCGAGCACACCTTCCTCTGCCTCGAGCTGAGGGCTCTCTGTGGGGAACATGCTGGGCCCCTGCGGTACCTATCAGGCAGCCTGAGTAACCCTGTCGCCCCTCTCTTGGCAGGTCCTTCAAGCCGGACTTCCTCCTGGTCCGCCAGCATGCCTACAGCATGGCACTCGGAGAGGACTACCGGAGCCTGGTCATCGGCCTGCAGTACGGGGGTCTGCCTGCTGTCAACTCCCTCTACTCCGTCTACAACTTCTGCAGCAAGCCCTGGGTGGTAGGTGCCTGGCCAGGCCGGCCTGAGGGGGTGGGAGCCCACAGTGGCCCGTTCCCAGCCAGCAATGAATTTAAGCAACTTGGGCCCTGGGGTTCCTTTGAAATTGTTTCCTAACAAATCTTATGTAAGAACACCACATAAGATTGGCTGTAGAGAGCCACCGTAGTGTGGAGCCTTCTGCCAACACGCCACCACTGTGCTTAACAGTGGAGTTATTTATTGCGCACTTACTGCATGCCGGGCCATGTGATCACTGCCCTGGGGCAGGGGCATCATCCGGCCATGGCACAGGGAAAGGAGCTGAGCTTCAGGGTGGCCAGAGAACCCACCAGGGCTTTGACCACCAGAACCCGAAGCTGTTTCTCTCCAGCTCCAGGGCCTTGATCTCCCTTTCTCCCTGTTGGTTTCACTCATTTGATTTGATTCCACCCAGATGTTACCTGTAAGGGACACTTTTCCTAAAATGCTAGCTCTCCTCTCCCTCACACTCTCCAATCCCGTATACTGCTCACCTGCACCTACAGCGCTGGGCATCCATTACGGACCCTCTCCCCATCACTGGAGGTGGTTCTGCCAGGCAGCACACAACTGCGGGTGCTCTGGGTGCTGGGTGTGTTCTGGGTGCTGTTCCAAGCCCTGGGAACAGGGCAGTGAGCAAGCCCTAGTGAGGCCCGCTCCAGACCTTACAGTCTCGCGGGCTGGGCACACTCTGCACTCACACGTGCATGATGCTTTGCTGTGTCCTATGGTGCCTGCCATGGTGGACAAGCAGGAGAGACAGAGCCCGGGTCTGGGTGGCTCCGTGCAGCGTAGCTCTCTGGCCGCCTGTTTTGCTATCCCTCCATGGTCACCTGCAGGCACCGTGTGGCTGAGCACAGGCTCTGGGCCCAGTCAGCTTCCGCCTGGGCTTCTCCGCCATGAGCTATGTGCCCTTGAGTGTGGCCTCCCTGAACCTCACTTCCTTGTTTGGGACGGGGCACAGTCACACACATGCCGTGTCTACAATGGTGGCTGGCACAAAGGACACCCTTGATGAATGGCACTGGTTGTCTTTGTCCTTCATGCCTGTGCTGTTGCACTTGGTATTTACTGATGTGTGCACTCATGGACTTATGGGTGTGGGTGGCCTCTATCACATGACCACCCTGGTCTCCTCACTCTGCTCTGAGGTCTTCGGCACGTGGCATCCAAGTGCGGCAGGTACTGCACTCGTCACACTCAACATGGCATGGAGCCCTGACCTGCTTGCTCCTCCCCAGCTGGGTGGAAGCTCCTGGGACCGGCCTTTGAGGGGCCTGGAGCCTGGGATGGGCCACCCTAGCCTCCCCATACTCCTGGCCCGCATGCACCCCTCTTCTTAGGTCCTCGGTTCAAGGGAGCCATGATGGCTCCCTTCCTGCCCCCTCCAGATTTACTCCCTGTGCCCCTGCAGCCAATCTTCCATCAGGCTTGGCCTGTCTTGCTCCACTGTCTCCCAAATAATCGAGCACAGTGTGGGGGATCCCAGGCGGTGGGGGATGGGGCTCACCCTGTGAGGAGGAGGAAGTGCAGATGGGTGGGGGAGCTCGGGGAAGCCGCTGGAGCCAGAGCTGCTGTGAAGCAGAGACAGTGCCGTCACCTGGCACTCAAGCTGCACAGCCGGGCACTTGTCTAACCAGTCCCCAGAAGCGGTCCACTGGGCGAGGGTGGGGGCTCCCTCATCGTCTCCAGTTTGCAGATGTGGACAGTGGCTTGCAGAAACCTGCAGTGACTTCCTGGACACACCGCTAGTGAGGTGCAGAGCAAGGATTTGAACCCAGGGAAGCTAGATCCAGAGTCTGCAACCATCTGCTCCCTGCAGGGCTCCCGCTCTGGAAAGAGGCATTGCAGGTGGAGGTGGGGTGAACATCAGTAGGTTGTGCACCCGACAAAGAATACTGTATGTGGAATGCTGAGTGTGGAGCAAGTGCCCATTAAATGCAGTTGAAAGCCAGGCACGGTGGTGTAGCCCTATACTCCCAGCACTCTCAGAGGCTGAGGCAGGAGGATCAAAAGTTTGACCCCAACCCTGACAACTTAGCAACTTGGCAGGAGCCTGTAAGTCTGGGGATGCAGCTCAGTGCAAAGGCCCTGGTGCTGCAATCCCCGGTACTGCAGTCAGCCCATCAATCAATCAGTGTGGTTGAGCTGAACCCGTGTTCTGCCTGCTTATGAGGTTGAGCAGGAATGGTGGGGCGATGTAGCTGCACGATAGAGAGGACAAATGCCCAGCTGAGGGAGCTGGCCTTTATCCTGGCAGTAGGAACGGGTGTGGGAGCTCCGCTCACGGGAGGAGGATCGAGGGGTGGCTTCACCACAGTGGGCAGCCGAGGCTGACAAGTCCTCTCTTCTCCCGCTCCAGTTCTCCCAGCTCATCAAGATCTTCCATACCCTGGGCCCCGAGAAGTTCCCGCTCGTGGAGCAGACATTCTTCCCCAACCACAAGCCAATGGTGAGTGCCCTGTTTTCCTTTCCCTTCACTGTGCGGAGTGCACTCAAGGTCTGTGTCTTCGGTCGCTCTGGACGGAGCAGGTGGCTCAGGGTCGCCACTCCCTGCCTCCCGGGCTGTAGAGAAGAGGCTCTGTGTCAGGTGCAGCCACCTGGCTGTGTCTCTCCAGGAGACATTCGGGCAGTAGGGCAAGAGAGGAAGGGGACAGCGATCCCTGGGACTTTGGAAATTATCACCACTTGGGACAGCTTGAGCTGGCCCATGGGAGTCAGAGGTTGATGAGGAAGGTAAGAGAGGTTCTCATGGGGAAGTGTTCGTTTCACTGGAGCCCTTTCCAAGACCTGGTTTCAACTCCTACTTTAATTAAAGTATTTTATTTGTATTGATTATCGTGGGGCGATGTGTTTATGTGGCCTTGTTTTCCAACTCTGATGCACCTGAGGTTGTCTTTGGGATGCTGGCCGTGGTGAGGAGTTCACGGCTTGGCCTCCCATCTGGGAGACGGGGTTGGCGGGTTCCCTTGGTCTTGTTGAATGCTGTGGAGAGCTCTCGGCCCCAGCTGGAAGCTGGGCGGGAGCCTCATGAGCAGCTGGAAGTGGCCTGCAGCCTGCGTGCTTGGGTGGCTGGTGGTCTTCTTAAACTGGTCACAGGGACACAGGGTTGTGGCCCTGGACATGCAGGGAGTCTGGGTTGCGATGACAAACAGGCAGCCTGCAGTCCCAGCTGGCGACTGTGCCTGCTGGTAGAATCGAAGCGCAGGCTGCTGAGCTGTACGGTGCTGTTTGTTGATGCCAACGGGAGGACTGCAGGCCTTGGAGGAAGGGAGCAGTCTCACCGGGTGGGGTTCCCACTGACTGTACCTGATCCAGTGACAGTCCCAGGGTCCAGCCTGTGCTGGCGGCATCCAGACCACACGTGTGAAGCCTGGCGTTTGCCAGCAAAGCATCCACACGATGGCGAGAACACAGGGTTTATCCTCAGACCAGCCTGAGTTGGAAACCAGCTCTGCCTACTTCCTAGATCTCCGTCAGCACCTTAATCTGTTTTGCTCAGTGATGTTGCATGCAGAGTGGACAGCCTCATCGGGTCGTTGAGATTCCATGTGTCCATGTGTGTAATGCTGTGCCTGGCTTGTGACAGGGGCTTGGAGTAGCACACCTTTCAAACAGGGGCAAAGGCTGTAATGGGGGCCATTGTCGAGGGAGGGCTGATGGGTGGATGCGTGTCCTGGGCCAGGTGACAGCCTGGCTGTAGGCTTGGGAGGGGCTCACCCGTCGTCCTGGGGCCTCCGGAGTCCCTGGCATTCCCGACCAGACTGAGTTCCACTCAAAATTTCTAGCCAACTGTGACATCCAGGGCCACTGTCTGCCAGCCTCCCTCCTGGTGCCACCAGAGCAGAATTCTCAGGAAGCAAGTGAGGAGGCTGAGTCAGGGCCCCAGTCGGGGGAACCTGTACCACCCTGGGGTGGCTACCCAGAGACCTAAAAGCTGCAGAACTAGGGGAACCCTGGCAGTAGAATCGGGAGCAGAGGCAGGGCCAAGTTAGCAGCCACAAGGAAATGTGGGCCTCTGAAGCTCCTCTTGCCAAGAGGAAGGACTGCCCAGGGTGGGCTCGAGCGATGGTGTGTATGGAGAGAGGGCATGCAAGGCCTGGGGAGGCCAGGGTGGACTCGCACGGCCCCCTGGCACCCCCCAGGGGCAGTCGGGACATAAGGAGGCAAGAGACAGCCTGAGTGTGATAGAAATAAAACCAGTTTACTGTTTAGAATAAAGGACACACTATAAAAAGTGAACACTATGCAACGTTACAAGACAATGTACATTCACGGAATACAAAATTCATAAATAACATGGAGGAAAACTGTAAACAGTGCTACAAAATTTAGCAACAAATACATTCCTTCCAGACAGGGTTTTCTCTGGTTGGTTTCTCTCCATTGCGTCTGGGTTTCGGCACGGCGGACTGGCTGGAGGGGAAAGATGGGGCTTGGGAAATCTCAGAAGGAAGCCCCTCCCAGCACAGGGATGCCTCTGTGTTCATCCCTTCCTCTCACCCGAAGAGAGCCCATTTCAAAGCAGTTGATCCCCACTCCCCTGCACCACCTTTGTTGTGCTTTTGCCACTAGGTTTTGATGCCGCTTCTCTGTGATGTGAATACTCTAAGTGATATTTTTGCTTTAGGTAGCCAGGAGCCAACACTCAAGTGTCATCTTGGGCAATCTGCACTGCTGATCACCATGCACAAGAGGAAAAGGAAGGGCTGAGGCAGGGTGGGCCACGGGACCTCCCAGAAGAGCTATGGAAGAAGTCGTTGGTTTCTTTCATTGTTCAAGAACCACAGTATGAAACTGGAGTTTGTGGGCTATCACTGGCACTGTGAGGTCTGTTGGGCTGGGATGGTGAGGCCCAGGGCCACTTAGCATGGCTCCTGGCCATCACAGACCACTAGCCTGGCAGACAAGCGCCTGGGCACATAGCTTCTTTGGAGGCTGCAGAGATGCCCAGAGGAAGCAAAGAGAACTTGGAATCACAGTTCTCACGGCCCTGGACTTTCGGGAGAAATCCTGGCTTCCAGATCAAGTGGAGGAAGGACTTGGGCAGGGAAGAGGGAGTAGGCGGCTGGTGATCCGGGCCAGCTGATACAGAACAAGGGCACACATGCACTTTCTATCTTTTCCGTTCTCCTTCCTACTGGGGGAATCCCTGGGATTCCGACAGGGAGGGGGGTGGAAGAGGCTCTGTCCCTTCTAGTCCCCAGACTGCCAGTCTCACTGCCTGCCCAAGTACAAGTCTTTTAGCCTCCGTTCCACTGTAAAATTTGATTCAGGAAAATGGTGGCATGTGGAGATCAGGTTTTTTCTCTTAGACACAGTGTACACATATTACAGCCTACACATGACACGAGATCTAGCAAAATAAAGCATTCATGATATGATTGCAATACAGAAGTGCCTCGGCTACATAAATGACTTTAAATTATACAGTAAGTGAACAGGTGAAATAAACAAAGCTATAGCTTATAGGAAGCTCAAAACCTGCCCTCTGACACCTCATTTTGCAAAAGACCCCCAGGGCCCAGGACCCCCCAAGCCTGACAGTTGGGGCTGTGGTTCCGCCGGTTATTTACTCTACAGTTGGGAAACTCCAAATCTCACCCCAAGCGCCTTACTGTGTGAATGGGGTGATCATCCTGGGACAGGGATTGGCCAGGTGCCTCACAGGAGAGACGCTGATGCCTATGTCAGGAGGGTACCCGGTAGAGTTCCGTCGTGCAGCCTCAGAGGTTGAAATGAAGACAATCCCAAGCACCAGATCTGGGGCTCACCCCTTAAACTGGGGGTGCAGACCTGAGCTCTTTCTGCTCCCACTGCCATTAGAGGCCAGTCCCCACCTCCTCCTGTCCCGGTACAGACCACAGGGAAGTGAGCAGGTACTGGAGCCGGTCCTGAGGAACCCCAACTCCATGCTGTTCCTGGCCTGGACGTGTGTGTGTGTGTGTGTGTGTGTGTGTGTGTGTGTATGCATGTGTGCGTGTGTGTCACTGTGACTTGTCTTTTTTCTCTCTTACTTCCGTTGGCAGCTCTGTTTCCTAAAATGGAATGAAGATCTGAATACTAATAGAGGATAAATCCCCAAAATCTGAGAAAAAGACAGAAAGCAATCGTGTTCAATGTCACCATCTTCTCCCCAGCTCTGTAACATATGCACTGTCACTCTCAGCATCTCACTTGTGACACTGAAACTTAAAATAATTTTATTTAATAGGAGAATTTATATTATAGTTTTATTTCAAAAAATACAACAGAATCCTACAGTTGCTTGCAGAGTCAGGCTTCCCCGGTGACCACCCATCAACACCCCACCGGGCGAGGACCTCAGGAGGTGGCATCAGCAGCCATGAGCTGGGGAAGGGGAGCAGGCTGTCCCCAAACCCGGGAGAGAAAGGTGGCCTTAGCACCAGGCAGGACATGGCGGTCCCTCCTGTGCTAAGACCCTCGCCCAGAGCAACTGTCACCTGCTGTCCGCCAAGCCAGTAAGGCAGTTAAGTGAAGGCCCCCAAAGGTGAAGGGGGAGGGAAGAGAGGGACAGAGGCTGGGTGACCCCAAGCGCAGGGAAAAGAGGGTGCCGAGGGTGTGTAGAATCTCAATTTTTAATTAACGTGAAAAACGTAACTTGGAATGTCATGATTTTCTTCCAACAAGCAACAACAACAAAATAGAAGAGATTAAACTGTTGGCGTATTTAACAGCATTGAAGAGAATTCTGCGTCCTGTAGAAAATTAGCTTATGCCCCCACACACGTAGGTAGATGCAGTGTGGATACAGACGCGTCCCCGGTGAGCTACACACTACTCCGGAAACAGCATTCCCTACCCAAGTCCACCTGCCTATGTCTGCGGGTGGTGCATGCAGTGTGTCTCCCCCACTCACACAGACGCGGCTCCACGAGCCTCCCTCGGCGTGGCAGAGGGCTCTCCTGGGAGGGAGGCAGGGGAGGAAGGACATTCCTCTCAGCCTCTCACCCAAGCTGCACAAGGCAGGATGCTGCCCGGCCTCAGGCAATGTCTATGTCTTGACCATCTGAGCCAGCACTGTGCTTCCAGCCTAAGCTGAACCCAGACTCACAAACAGCTGGGCAGCCCAGCATCTCGGCTGGGGACTGTGCTGTGCCCTGTCACACCCTCTCCTACAGCCTGCTCTGATGTGCAGAGAGACACAGCCACGCCCTCTTGGGGACATGCAGCCCCGTCTCCTCTGGGTACAAGCTCTTCCGCCTACCTGGGGTCTAGCTGTCAGCTGGCCGGACTGACCCGGAAGCAGTTGGCTTCAGCAATTTCCTGTCTGCGTCCTCAATGTGCTGGGTCGATAAGCGGGTACAGGGGGAGGGAAGGGAGATGTCAAGCAGGAAGAAGAAAGAGGAGGAGCTGTTACAATGACCAAAGGGGGTAGATTTTTTGATTTTTGTTTTCCTAAAAAAATATAGATTATATATCACAAGGAAGAGGAGTCTACATTCCTCCTTCTTTCTGGCCTGGCCAGGGTGGGAATGGCTGCGGTCAAAAGCAAGGAGAGAGGCTTGGGGTGGGGCCAGGAGGACAGTCCCAGGTCAACTCCACGGACAGCACAGACTTCTCCTTCAGTGTCCCAAGTGCTAAATTTGCAAGAAAACAGGCACTAATTTCATTGTCATCATCTGGGAAGAGTTAGTGTCCGAGGGGAGCTCAGCGGGGAGGGAGGGATGCGCGGTGGGAGAGTCGGGCTCAGGGGTCTGTGGCGTTGATGATGCTTTTGTCCGGGGGCGCCCAGCCCCGGTACCAGCTGCAGTAGCCACCCTTCTGCCGGATGCAGGCATAGTGTTTGGACTGGTAGCCGGGGTAGCCAAAGTTGGACAGCATGTCGGTCCACAGGCACTCGTTCTTGGATGTCACAAAGCAGGGCAGGTAGTAGCAGGACTTGATCTGCAATGAGACCCACCCAGCGGTCGGTGGACTCTGTCTGCCCTGGTGGCCGGGCCTGGTGCTGCCTGACCTGGATCGGACCCTGGGCCACTGCAGAGGCCGCTCAGCCCCGGGGCCTTTGCAACCTAAGTACGAGGTGTCTGCCCTGTGCCGCGCACTGCAGTTCTGTGTTATTCCTTTAACTCTCGTCGCAGCTTCGCTGCCCTTTCACAGCTAAAAATGCCAAGGCTCAGAGCGGATTGTAACTTGCCCAGGTCACACGGCTAGTGAGCAGATGAGACTGCAGGAGGGGAGAGCTCCGCCACCGCCACGCAGGGAACCGAGGACTTGCCAAGATGACAGCATCATCTTTGGAGTCCCGCTGCCCTGCGCGGGAAGTCAGACTCAGCAAGTCCTGTGACCTGAGGCTGCTGACTTACACTGAGCCTCTTTTGTCTATAAAACAGGGTCCTCGTGATTCAGACCACACGAGGGTGTCCTGAGGATTAGGGCTTGGGCTGCTGAGGATGGGCATCTGTGCTGCTGGGGCCGCATTCCCAAGCCCGCCTGCCAGCTGCTGCCAGGCTGAGTGCTCTCGGGGCTCAGGGCCACCAGGGGGCGGGGACGCTGAAGAGCCCTCGTGCCCCAGCAGATGCCACTCGAGGGCTCCCTCGCCCACCGGCCGCACCCGTCCAGCTCACCTTGCAGTTGCAGCCCAGGTGGTAGCGGTAGTTGAGCCCCTTGCGCTGGGAGAGGGTGAGTTGGTCCCACCGCTCCACAAAGTTGCAGAGCCCCGTGTACATCTTGCCGTCATAGACGCGGCCTGCAGGAGAGACACCGTGCACTGTCCACAGCTGGGGAGGACAGCGGCTCCGCCCCGTGTGTCCAGCACCGCACGTCACCCTCCTGACCCCTGCTGGCGGGAACTGTGGCCCATCTCCCCGGAGACAGTGAAGCTGGGACCAGCAGGTCCGCTCATGGGGTTGTGGTTTCCCCTTTGCAGCACTGAGCGCCTAGTGGCAGGTCACTCAAAAGGGCGGGGAGCCCACCCCCTTGCACTTACAGGAAAGCTGAGGGCTCACAAAGCCAGGAGGCCCGCAGGGCCAGGGCCAAGTGAGGGCCGGAGCTGGGGCCCTGCCGGCAGGACAGGCCCAGAGGCACGCCTCACCTGTCAGCAGGTACTGGTACTTGTTGACCTCCAGCTTCAGGCCGCAGAGGCTCTCTGACGCCTCCGTGTGGATGTACTGCACATGCGGCATCTTGGTGAAGCCTCGGTACATCTGTGGGCAGAGGGAGGGCTTTGTGAGAGGAGCCCGCCTGCAGCTCGCCACCACCCTCCCTGAGGGAGCCAGGCTCGCCTGTTTGCCTCCGAGCCCTCGGGAGGCCCTGCCTCTCTTCCCGCCAGGCGCCTCCCGTCCGTCTGAGGCAGCCCATCCCAGCCGCCCCTCAGCACACCCCCAGCTGCAGTCCTCAAATCCCAGCACATTTCCTGAAATCCAGAGAAGCCACTGTGGAAAGATCTCCCATGCCTCGCTCACCTCGGGCCACAGGCCACCCAAGGAGCTTGTCTGAGGCCACAAAGCCAGTAAGCGGCAGAGCTGAGTCACAACCTGGGGACCAGGGGTCCCTGCTCCTAACCACTGCCCTGCTCCGTGTCCCCTGCAGCCTGGGAAGCTAGGGCCAGCAGAGACCATTTCTGTCTCCAGCCCTGGTGGCTCCATTCTGGGTCTGCTCACAGTCCTGGCGTAACAGTGACAAGTAACGTGCAGGCCCTGATCTGCCAAGGCGGCAGTTTGACCTCGTGAGCCAGGAGGGTGGAGCGGCACCTAGATGTGGCCTAGGCCTCAGAGGACACAGGCCCTGGTCCGCTGGTGGTCTCTGGGCTGTCCCATGGGTTTATAGCAGGGCACAGCCTTCTCGAGTTCCTGGCATGCGTTGTTAATTTGCCTGTGCTAATTAGCACAGAGTGGACATCACCTGGGCTGTGTCTCATCCACGCCTGCATCTGGGCTGCTGGGTGGTTTCCTCCCTTGTCTTCTAAGTGGCAGCTGCTAGAGGGGCCCCCTTGGGCATCGCGAAGCTGTCTGCGGGACCCATGGAGTGGGGGCCTCGGCCTCGCTTAAGGGGCGCTGGCCTTGCTTCCACCTCCGGGGAGGCTGGGGGTGGTTTCAGAGCCCCGGCCCCAGAACATTCTGGGCTCCCCCGTAAGGAAGGGTGCTGAGGCTCCCAAGCCCAACTGGGGTGCAGAATGGGGGATCTCACCACAGCCAACAATTGGCCTCTGGAAAGTTACTCAACCATCTGGTCCCCAGTGAAATGAATGGCTTGGGATTCACAGAGCAGCCAGTGTGCTGAAAAGTTAGCTTAAAACTACTTAGCCTCAGACTCAGCGGGGCAGGAGGGGAGGGCTGGGGCCGGCATGGCCTGTGCTCCTCACCCGTCCAGGTCAGGCTCCCGAGCAAGCAGGTGCTTCTCTGGCAGCAGACTGCATGCCTCGGGCTCCCTTCTTGGTGGTATCTGCACAAAGTGCCAGGAAGCTTGCCTCCCTGGGGAGGGGACACACCATGTAGGGGACGTCTCTGAACCCGGGCCCCCATGCATTTGCTGTGAAGAAGCTGACAGCTGTGGCGTGCCACCCCAGGTATTTCCTGCGTGCCCACAGAGACAGCACGGCTCTCCCTGGGTGCATGTGGAGAACTCCCTAAACCCACAACTGACTCTTATCTACAAGCCACTGCAGGCTTGGGGACATTGAGTACGAGCCTGAGACACCCCGGCACGGTCCGCCTCTGACAGTGGCTGCTCCTGGGCAGAGCACGTGACAGTGAAGCAGGTCCCGCTCAGGCTCGGGAGGAGGAGGGCCGTTCCCTGGCCCTGGGGTCACAGAGCTTCCAGCTGGAGGAGACCTGCTAAGGCTCATTTAATCACTCAGAGCACCAAGGGTGGGGCCGGCGACTGCACAGTCAGCACTGCCCACACAGGTGACTAGGACATGCTCCCTGGGATCCTCCGGGGACCAGCTGGGACATCGTGTCCCCACGTGCTGTCCCCTGCGGCCCGCCTGACAGCATGTCTCCACTGCACAAACAACAGCTCCTGGCGGAGTGGCGGCTTTCCCATGGCCCTGATGGGAGATAAGGCCCCACAGATTAGGGCAGCCAGTTCTAGAAACTTCCATCACCTCTACAGCACAGCCCAGGGCCGAGCCTAGCTAATCTCCACACCTGGTTTGTGACACGGGTCCTCTCCACCCTTCCACGGAGCACCCCCAGGGGCACCCCAGGGCCTGCCTGGGAGAGGTCAGGGCTGCGGGGCAGGCAGATGGGCGCACCTGCCGTCAGCTCCTCTGAGTCCCTCCAGTCCCGCTGTGGGAAGCCCTCCTTGGACTTCCTGGGGCAGGCACTCCAATTCCCCGGAAAGAAGCCCCTGGGCTGGGGCCAAAGCTCTTCCCTGCTCAGGCCGAACTTCCCCACACAGACGTTCCTGAGACAGACTGCAGGCCGCTGCAGCTCCAGGCCGAGCTGCTGGGCTCCACACTAGCAAGCCAGGCCACCCTCTTCTCCCTCCCTGGGGAGCCAGATATAGGCAGGGCGAGGGGCAGCCCCCCAAGCAGGTAGAAGCCAGGTTGGCCACCACCCCTCAGTCGCCTCCGGGGGACCCCGCCAGAGGATCGGGTTTGGGCTTTCCAGCCGCAGGATCTTGACCGTGGGGCCACCCTGCAAGTCTCAGCACCTCCTGGTGAGATCAAGGGTGAAGGACCCATTTCTGAGCGCAGTGTGAGCACCAAGCCTGCGAAGGCTCATGAGAAGGGCAAGGAGCAGCCTCGGTCAATGGTCCTGGAGCTCTGTGCGCCCTCACCAGCGTCATCTCTGGTGCCCAGCTGGGCTCCCCTGCTAGCTAGCGGGCCTTCTCCGGCTTGCAGGCAGGTGGCCGCTTAAGACAGATGGGCACTGAGCAGCTCCATGGTCCAAACACTGAGTCTAGGGATAGCAGGAAGCCAGGGATCGTGTGCCAAACACACGGGGTTGGCACCAGTCCGCCCTCAACAAAACCCACAGCTCTGGACCTCTTCGAAGGAGAAGGCCGAGTCTGTACCTGCCAGGCAGGACCATGGTAGAGGCTGCCACTGGGGAATGGGGTGCCGTGTGTGGATGGGAGGCAGATGTCATCTGTCCTCTAAACGACCACCACTGGCTGGGGGAGGGGACACTGCACACAGGAGCCCCCAGTCAGGAGGGAAGCCAAGACAGTGCCAGGACCCCTGCCCTGGCTTCCCTGTCCTCCCTCGGGGGCTGAGTGTGCAGGAACAGCTGTGAGGAGCCAGACGTGTTCTCGGCCTCCGCTGTGGTCCAGTGGGCCCTGGCATTCCCCGCCGCTGCCAGAGGTTGCAAGGTGGGTTTGGGGTGGCTGCTGCTCCTGCTGGCTCCTTCCCCGCCCACACTTCCCCCTCCAGGGCCACGAAGACATGAGCTGTCTCATGACCGACTCGGTGGCCAGGGGCAGCCGGCCAGGGCTGACTCTGGATGTTACATAACCCTGCAGACCCTGTGCGCAGAATGGGATCCACTGCAGCAGGTTCCATCGAATCAGTGCTTTGAGCCTGCAGCCCCAGTGTGGACCAGAGAGACCAGGAGGTCGGCCTCGGGAGAACCCGGTCCCCAGAGCATGCCGGGCCCATCCTATGGCCAGGGACACCCTGGGAGCAGTGAGGGGCAGGGCTGAGTTCCCTGCGGCTGGGTAACCCCGTCTTGGACATCACTTAGTCCCACTTGTGTCTCCTTTCCCAACCTGACCGCTGTGTTAGGAAGGGCACCTTGCCGGCAGCCCCTTGGCTCCCACACACAGCCCTGAACGTAGGGAGGCGCAAAAGATGTGGTGGACACAAACCTAAGTGTGTTCTGCAGCACTGGCCACTGGCCCTACTTGGCAGCGGCACTGCCTGAGTCTGAGGCACTGGGCACACCTGCGCCAGATGCCCTGGGGTGCCCGGCCCAGCCCTGCACAGCTAAGGGGCAGCAAGACTGAGGCGGCTCGGCAGGGGCATGGAGAGGACAGAGTCCACGGGCTCCCTTCCTGTGCCTCCCAGAGGATCTGTGCTCGGTGAGTGTTTAACACTGCAAACACACTTAGTGACACACTTAGTGCACGTCCGGCTGGAATGCAGGAAGCAGGTCAGAAGCGGAGGCCACAGTGTGGCAGGTTTCCTGCCCGGGAGGGGCTCCCCCGGGGACCAGGCCCATGGCTCAGCACAGGCTCCGTGGCCACCCTGCGGCCTCGGACACAGCACAAGACCAGGGCACGGTGGAGCACAGACGCACTCACCCGCAAGGGCCTGAGGCCGTGTGGCCCAGCGCCCTCATTTTACAGTTACAGTTGTGTTGATGGAGGCAGGGAAGGGCAGGGTCTCCACCCGAGCCCAGGGTCCTGGTAACCGGCGCCCTGACCCCGCCACCACCCGGCTCTGCGAGGGGAGCAGCCCCACTCACAGGACTCACCTTCATCTGCTTGACGGTGTAGATCATGGTGCCGAAGGGCCCCTCCTTCACCAGCTTCTTGGCCACCACCTTGGCGCGGATCACTGCGGAACAGGACAGATGCGGCGGAGGTCAGCAGCCTGAGCAGCAAGCCTGGGCCGCGCCCCCCGCGCCCACTGGCACCCTCCGTGGTGCTTACAGCAGAGGAGCCTGGGAGGGCAGCGCCCGGAGCCCCGGCCCTGACCCAGATGTAGTTCACCAGGGTTAAGTGAGGGAGCAGGAGCACCTCGGCCAGACGCCCTGCGCCCTGTTCCGCACGCCTCAGCTGCCTGCCAGGCTGCGTCACGCCCGGGTCACAGGGACGCGTGCAGGCCGAGGGTGAAGCCACTGCCTCTGTAGACTTCGTTCCCTCCGCTCCTCTGGGCAGAGGGGTCGCCTCAGAGTCAACCGAGGCGGTGACCTCTCCAGCACTGCGGGAAGCACCCAAGAGCGCACATTCGGGGTGCAGGACGGGGCTGGGTGTGGACACTGCAGCGGCAGAGGCCATGCCGTGGCTCAGTGAAAGTGACCTAATGACCGGGGGGACTGTGGCTGTGTAGGGCGGCCTGCGGGGCTGGCCCTAGCGCTGTCTCCAGCCGCTCTCTGTCCGCCTCGACACGGAGAGACGCGAGAGACCGCTCCCTGGCTCCAGCCACGTTCTGAGGAGAATCTCAGAAAACGCATGTCAAGCAGAAGACCCTCCACACGTGCACACACGCACGCACACATGCACACACGTCTGTCTCGCAGCTCCGCGACCCCGCTGCCCATGTCCACGTTTCCCCGTGCTCTGACTCTGATCTGATCTTGAGTCGGGCCCAGTTCCCGGTCCGCTGCTTCCTCCCAGCTGACCGGCACCCCCCTTGGGTCATCGTGAGGCCACCTCTGTGGGTCCACAGCCCCTCCACAGCAGCCGCTGGCCGAGCTCTCTAAGGGCGAGAGGCTGCAGGACCCCGGGCCGTGTCACTCCTGCATCTACCTCAGTGCCTGACTATGGCAGCCTCCTCACAGCAGCCTGGGCCAGAGGTAACCAAGGCGGCGTCTGCCCTGAGAACAGCAGATCCACCCTGTCCTGGCTCCAGCGCGGGTCCACTTGACTCAGATGTTCCTTAAGCCATCCTGTCCCACAAAGCTGGGTACATCTAGAAGCTTCTGCCCATAGAAACAGTCAGCTCCTTGCTGACCCTGACAGGGCCCGGACTTGGAAGCTCTCCTCTGAGCACAGTGTAGGGTAACAAAGGTTTTGTCACAGGAAGCGACAGTGGGGTCAGCCTCCCACCATCCCTGCACCCCAGCCCTTTCCTGCTAGTCTCTTGGGCTTTCTTCCCCTTCCTCTCATGTGGCTTAGACATGCTGTCCTCGTCAGCAGTGGCCCAGCGACACAGCCTGGCTCTGGGGCCTGGACCTGTGGGTTCCAATCCTAGTCCTGGTGTGCTGTGACACTGGATCCCTAAACCTCTCCAGGCCTGGGCTTCCTCATCTGTAAAATGCGACTGATGCCAACAAGCAGCTCTGAAGGTTGCTATGAGGGCTGAGGAAGGGCACCTCCCAGCCCACGCCCCTGCCAGAGAGCTGCTAGCATCCCACCGAGTCCTGACTTCCGCTGGCCCCTGTCCACACTGCAGCACCGTAGCCTCAGCCTGGGCATCCCCCTCAAGTCGGGGAAGGCGAGCTCATCCGGGTATCCTGGCCCGCAGAACCACAGTGGGAGGAAGTGGGGAGCCGAGAGGAAGTGGTCGGAACAGGTGCACAGGTGTCTGGGGTGCGGGGGACCTGCCCGATCTCAGGCACCGTAGTCCGTTCGTCACCCGTGCACAGCCGAGTGGCCTTGAGGACCAGGTGATGTCACAGTGCATGTAGCCCAGGAAGGCGCAGGCCACGGCCCGGTGCAGGGGCCACAGCCGTGCCTTCCTTACAAATACAAAGCCTCGCCAACCCGAGCCAGCCCGAGCCCCCTGTTGCGTGCATGAGTTCACACCTGCATTTGTTCCCGCTTCTCTGCAACTCAGACACAGGCTGTTCTATACTTTCCCGTTGGCCAGAGTGTCCTGGTGTTCCCGGGCCTGGGGGCTACGGGGGACCAGGGCGAGAGAGGTCAGAGCCCCGGCCCAGCAGCCCGCAGCTTCTCCCTGGCTCTGCAGATGCCCCCTGGACCAGACAGGGCCATGCACTGTGTTCCCAGCGCCCTCCAGCAGCTGAGCTGGCTCAGTGGGAAGCAAGCTGCTGTCTGGAACGAGGACCCAGGCAGCAGAAGTGTTCGGCAGCAGCAGCTCCCATGGCCACAGCTGGCCCGCGGGTCCTGGGATGGCCCATGCGCCGCCCCTCAGGATGCTGTGAGGGGCACAGGGCCCCAGGAGCTGACCCGGCAGCCCCCTCTCCCATCCCCACTGGCAGTCGGGTCCAGGGGCCGGGAGCCGGGCAGCCAGTGTGGATCCCCCCTCTGGTACACACTGAGTCCAGCCCCGTTTCTGCTCGCGTCACCCGTGTGAGAGCCAGCAGCTCTGCCCGACCCTACAGCAATCCGTGGGAGCCCAGCCGTGGCCTCCAGGACAGGGCAGCACAGAGGCTCCAGGTCGCCAGGGCTCTGCATTTCTGCCGGCCTCTCTCGCTGCCCACCGCCAGCCCCTGGCCCCACCAACTTCTCCACCCTGCGTCTGAGTCCAGAACGTCCAGCCACGCACACCCATGCACACACACACTCGCACATGCTCGCACACGCACCTTCGGACTCTACCAGAATCCCCAGCCCCCTCGAGCCACGGGCGACTGCGTTTCTTCAGCACAGCTTTCATAAAACCCACAGACCCACAGGAAGGCTTCCGCCACCCCGGGAGACCCAGCTCATCAGGCTGATCAAGCCAGACAGCGAACACGCAGCATCTCGGGGCAGGAAGCAGGCAGTGCTGCGATCCTTAAATCGCTCATGGGGAAGACGGCAAGGGGCCCGAGAGCAGGCCAGACGCGACTCCCTGCGCTGAGGGTCTCGGCGTCCCCTCTAGGTCTCTGTGGGTCACCACAACCCAGAACGCCCTCAGGAAGACTCAGAAGCGGGGGTCAGACCAAGAGGAGCAGGTGACGCCGGCAGTGGTGAAGTCGCTGCCCGTCTCGGACCTGAGCTCCGCCTCCGAGCCCACACTCGTGGGGCGAGCTGCCACCTCCTGGGCCCCGGCCAGGTCCCAGTGGCCCTTGCATCCCCACTGCACCCTGATCAGCGCCACCCGGACCACTGCGACTCCCAAGCTCCTGCAGCGCCGACCCAGTGGCCTGACCTTCGCCTCACCTCACCCAGGTCGACTCGGCTCCCCAAGGCCTGCCAGCGTCTAGCGCAGCGTCTGTGTTCAGCGCTGACCCTGGCCTCCCTTGCTGGACGGCTCCATCGGGAGGTGCCAGCGCCCTCCGCTGCCTCCCCTGGCCCGGGGCTCTCTGACCCGCTCCTGACGTCCCTCCCCCACCCCGCGTCCCTCCACACCCTCCCCAGTTCATCTGACACTGTACAGAGTCGTGTGCCTGTTGACTGTCTCTCCCCAGGAGGATGTAAGCTTCACAAGGCAGGTTCTTTCTCATCTTTTTTTTTTTTTTTTTTTTTGCAGTACTGGAGGTTGAACCCAGGGGCACTGTACCCTGAGCTACATCTCCAACCCCTTTTATTTTTTATTTTGAGAAAAGGGCTCTACAAGTTTCCCAGGCTGGGCTCAAATGAACCCAAGATCCTTCTGCCTCAGCCTCCTGAGTAGCTGGTACTGCTCACCCAGCTACTAGGCAGTTCTTTACTGTATCAATCACTCTACCCGGAGCAACCAAAGGTGCCTGGCATGTAACAGGACTTGATTTACTTTTGCTGAGTAAATGCAGCCAAATGTGATTTGATATAGTTAGCGTCACACGTGGCGGGAGATGAAAACCGGATAAGTTACTGTCTCGTGCAAACTTTGGGAGCAACTGCATCTTCCTGGCCTTGCTCGGTACACATGGGACAAGGGGAGTCTCGGCGGTGGGGTCAGAGGAACATCTGCGGGTCTGTCGTGCATGGGGCCCTGGCCTTGGCTCCAGGAATTCCAAGATCCATGAGGCCTGGAACTCGAACTCAGGGCCTTAGGCGAGAGGCTGCCCTGAGGCAGTGTGAGGTGTGGTGAAAGGGACAGGGCCAGCACCAGGGGCAGGGGCATCAGAGCCCTGCAGGTGACTGGGGACCTGGAGGTGACCCTCGCGTCAGGTCCAGGAAGCAGAGTCAGAACCAGCCAGGCAGGGGTGGCTGGGAAAGCAGCTCCCGCAGAGCCGGGCCAGGCCAGTTCCTGCCTCCTGCCCCAGCAGGCTCTTCCTGCATGCCTGCCCCGAAGGGCCTCGCCGTCCCTTTCAAAGCCCTCTGTTGACGTCCACGCCAAGGCCAGATGCACTCCCCATCAAGATAAGCCGTCTCCAGTTCAAAGCCCGTCCTGACTAACTCTTTCCGTTCAGTAAAAATATGAATCTTGCTTTTATTTAAGCAGGTTTTTTGGCAAGAAATGAACGCCGGTGGCTAAAAATAAATGCAAATACACACACACTCAGAGAAGCTGGAAAGCTGAAGGTCATTTCAGCCCAAGTTTCCATTGCAGGGAACACTGTGCAGGCCAGGAGGACACGAGACTCCCCGCCTTCCCAGGCTCCCGAGCTGCCCCGTGCGGTCCTGCCGCCCCGGCCTGGAAATGGGTCGGGCTCACTCCTGGGGACACAGGGTGACTTTCCCCCAGCCAGGCCAGGACACACTGGGCCACTGAGGTCTGCTGTGCAGGAGATGCAGGGCCAGAGAGGGAGGGAGAGGACACAGGCCAGAAGCCAAATGGCCTGGGGCCTGGAAACACCCAAAAGGAGCACAACAGACTGGGCACCCCAGGCCCACTTGCTCGCGTGTTCTAAGCGATGACCTCAGTGTTAAAGTATTAAAAGGGAAGATGTAAGCGCCTTGCCTAGGCCTCTGCTCAGGTTGGGGTTAACGTGTTTAGGTTCTAATCTGACCGCTGCTGCCGCCGGCCGGCTGTCTGTGCCACCTGGGCCGCCAGCAATTGGGAGATGACATGGGTCACTG